ACTAATAATCTAATGTAGCACGCATTGTTATAACCTTTTCATTTGCATTTGTATCTGCTATATATATTGATGCTACTTTACCGATGAATTATTGGCATTATTACATTAGATTTTCCGGGACTGGACATGCATTTTATTCTGTTTATAAGTATTGATCATATGTCATAATAAATAGTTGAATTCATTGTGGAACATATTTGGTTTTCAAGAGTGTACGGAATTCAAAACGAAATACGGGTAAACATAAGAATTACAGGCCCTGATTCATCTGGGTGGACTTAAGGAACTGAAGCCCCGAAGACACCCTGGCCTAAAAAGAAAAATTCTATCAAAGACGGCGTATTGGCAAAAACTGGCTTAAGATAAATGTAAGTCACATAGTCTTCGTATATTTGAGCCTTGACGCCTGCTGAGTTTCCTGTCAGTCACTGTATGTCTTTAGGCGTTTTTTCAACATAATGTTTTTGACTCAGGTCATGCAGACGCTTTCATAGATAACTCTTGGTCAGCGAAGAAGCATATTTTTTTCTGCCATGTCATTCCATGTAAGCATCTTTATTGTTTAACGACAATAAGCTTGTAATGTTTAAGTCGAATAAAAATTATAAAAATATATGTTATTTCATTTTCAAAATTATTCAGCGATACTCGCGGTGAATTATGATTCAATCGCGATATCGTGGCTGGTATTAGATATAGAATATAGAATAATTCTTTTAATTTTTAACCTGGAAAATAACATTTAAAGGTTAGATTATTAAATAAGACACCGTACAGAAAAAAAAACAGATCAAACTAATAAACATGTTAAAGTAAGTATAATGAACGCACACTTAAATTTAAGGTAAATAGCCCCGCGGTTCTACTCGGTCCTTATCCGGTGCGGCACATTACAAGTTTGTAACGCAATATTACTTCATAAAATAATATTTTATCAGTTCGCTGAGATGTCATAGCAATGAAATATATTGATGCCGATAACATGCAGAGATTAGATTTGATATATATTGATATACATATCTATTGATTTAAAGGTCACGATAGATAGAAGGAAAAGGCGAAAACATAGTCGATAAGATAATAGTGATACGAACGGTTAATATCAACTAATGTATAAAGTTAACTTTATTTATACCTATAGCGCTTTTGTATTTCTTTATATGCTAAAGTCGTACTTTTGTGCTGAAATACTGAAATTTCAATCAAGAAAATTCTGTAAATATAATTTGGAATTTACCCGTATCGCCCAATTTATAAAAAGATTAGGGCAGTCTTGTTATATTTCGGCAGATATACATTGTATCCCTACTATATGGTTAAAATTTGTTTTGATAACGATGTCTTAATGAATACAACAAAACAGACTTTATTTGTGTTGTCCGACTTTTCTTAGATATACATGTACTTGAATTAATTATGACTGACAACCGGCCTGAGGTGTCTAAAATTTATCTTTAAGTTTATACTAGTATTGGTATCTACATTGTAGTGAATATCTTATAGATATATCTTAGTGACTAACGTCTAGTGTAAGAATTGAACATTTCATTTACGCGCGCGAGTTTAAATAGTAACACTCTCGCGTAGAAAGTCACATATATATCTATGAATACATTTGTTTATCGTAAAGTATGCATGTTTCCCTACAATACTATCTATGTTTCATATAGAAAACCTAGCAAATAGGGCTACTCTTAATAATTAAACATAATAAAAACACAAAGAAAGAATTTTCTGAAGCATACATGCACTTGTAGATTTTTTAAACGGGAAAGGCACCTTAAATGTATTTGTATCCTGAAGTTTACATTCATCCCTACAGTATAGTGAATATTTCATAGAAATACTCTAAATTATAAATAGCGTTTTATATAATAATTGAATGACATGATAAAAATACTGTTTTGGTTTTTCGCCTAGAGCATTTTTATTTATTCATCATGTATGTGTTAAAAGTAAAAAAGAATATGGGAAAAAGGACAGATATATCTTTGCATGCATTTATTAATCTTGAGATATACATATTTCCTACAATATCGGCTATATTTGAAAGCGATATCGTTTGCCTTTCAATGAAAGAAAGTAAAATATCTCACTTTATCCATTTGATGTCGGTAGTTAGCAGACGACTTTTTTTAGCAATACTATAGTATAGTTTAATTACTAAACAACAGCAAAAAGCGCGGACAATGATTCATACGAAAAGTATCGTGACGTACATTATTAAATTTTTATATATTTTTCTATATGAAATATTATATTATATATTTTTCTGGTCTAGGGATCATTGATGCCAACACTATTTATTAAGTGTTGACAATTGAGTACCGCTTAAGCCGGTGCTAAGGGGCGTGAGGGATGTTGCACGTATTCATTAACCCTCGTGTACAGACTCAATCAAACCGAGTCTGCAATTCTCGTGTAATTTTGTTGTGATTAATGCTTCCGAGGGATCACTTTGTTTCCAGATTTTTATACTTCACAACAGCAGGTGTCAAGTGCTGTATGGCAGCTGTAAAAAGTTGCCCCGTACTTCACTTCAGTGTTGTTATATTTTTCTGGTCCTTCAGGATCATTGATGCCAACACTATTAAGTGTTGAGAATTGAGTACCGCTCAAGCCGGTGCTAGGGGGCGTGAGGGATGTTGCACGTATTAATTATCCCTCATGTACAGACTCAATCAAAGCGAGTCTGTCTTTCTTTTTCTTTTCTTGTGTGTGTGTGTGTGTGTGTGTGCGCGCGCGCGCGCGTGTGTGTGTGTGTTTGTATGTGTGTGTGTGTGTGTGTGTGTGTGTGTGTGTGTGTGTGTGCGTGTGTGTGTGTGTGTGTGTGTGCGTGCGTGTGTGTGTGTGTGTGTGTGTGTGTTATAATTATGCTGTTATGAAAAAGCCCCATCATGAAGGGTTATAAAACTTTATTGATCTCTTTGAACAAAAGGATGTGTAATTATGATATGTAATTAATAACCTTCGATGGTTATGTTTTCACACGTTCAAGGGGTGATAACATTATTTTAGGGGACAATCAGATCTGCCAGTCATTTATGTTGCAATCCAATCAAGTTATTATCCGAAAGATAATTCCTTTTTTTCATTGGTAATTAGAACTGCACTGACCACACCTCGCCCAAATTTAGTGTACAAGTAACTGTCATACTGTCAATGAAACTTCAGGTAAAAATCCAACCGAAATCATAATATTTCAGATATATTCTAATTAATTCATTTAATTAATTCATTAATTTATTTATTTATCATTTTATTCATTTATTAATGTATGTATTTAATTATTTATTATCTTTCTTTTTATAAATAGATAAGTAAATAAATAAATAAATAAATAAATAAATAAATAAATAAATAAATATATATATAAATAAATAAATAAATATTCGGAAATTGCTGTCCGTATTTTAATTGATGATGTAGGAATATCCCTATCTATGTTTGTTAACAGTCATGTCAGTTATACCTATGTGTATTTCTTTTCCTCGCTAAAACATCAATATATATATATGTGTTTTGTTTCATTTGGCGTGTTGCACAAGTTATATTTATGTTAACCAATATTGTTTTTGATATTTTAATGCTCTAACTGAACGTACCTACACGATTTTCAAACACGCCGTTTTTTAACAAAAATAGCCATTCAATTATTTAACATTGTTGTAAATAAAGAAAGAGATCATTGATACAGACAAAAAACATCCTAAACGCTCTAATTTCTTTTACAAACTATGCAATTTATGAATGAATGAATTAATAAATAAATAAATAAATAAATAAATAAATAAATAAATAAATAAACAAATAAAAAATCGGACCGGACCTTTTTCATTTTAAAAAGGTCGGAACCGAATATTAACATGCAGAAAAACTTTTACTGTTAAACTTCCGATCCGATATGTAAAACAAAAATAAAGATATGGATGAATTCTCCCATTATGTTATTCTCCCATTACGCTCTAATGTGAGTATTTCTCCAGTTACGCTGTAATGGGAGATTTCTTCCATTTTAATTTTGGGAGATTTTCGCACAATTTTAATATTGGGAGATTTCTCCCATTTACTTAAAGGGTTTGTTCAGCCAATGGGAGTATTGCAAATTTCTTTAAATATAATTCTCGAATACTTATAAGTTTATTAGAAGTATTACATATTCAACATATGTAAAAATATTTAGAAAAAAACTTCTTTTTACTCCCACTGTTTTTATTCTCCCACTTTAAGAAATTGAGTTTTAACCCCACTGAAGTCCCAGTGGGATGGGAGAATTAAAAAAACCCATGGGATGCCACGTTTTGAACGCTCACCCAGCGTTCAATTATAGCGCTATTTTTGTATAAACGACCAATAATCGTCTATTTTTATCCAAATTACTGTTTGATTTAACTGTTTGTATTGAAACTATATTAAAAAGGGTAGTTGAGTTTGCAAAAATTGCGGATTTGCAAACTAATTCCAGAGGCTGTTATTTCATAAATCATGATGCCATCCTTTCCACATTATCTACATCTTTTAGTTTTATATGGTACTTTGACATGTTTTCATCTCGATTTGACAGCGTATAAAAACCGGCTTTAATTTTAAACATTGAAAAACACTTTCATTACCAACCGACTTAAAAAAAATAAAGCTAAATATTCACTGCTTAGGATATTTCTTAACCGTAATAAAAATCTTGGCTAAGTTTTACTTACGTCAGTTCTCGAATATGACTTAACTTAAAATAAAAAAATCTTAGCTAAGATTGTTTTTAACTTATTTTTAACTTAAGAAAAAACTTAAGATCAGTTGTGAATACGGCCCAGACCAAAATTAAACAATTCACATTTTGTTTTCCATGTATATATGCCAACTGTGTTTACATAACAAGTACATAAATGAAGTCGCACGAATTTCCAGTAATTAACTTCTAATGTTCTAATGTCAGAGTATAAACAGTTGGAGACATACAAGTATTGGGTTCAAAACTTGTTTTAACTATGACAAAGTATTACCAAGCGCTGTAAGTTACGTTTCTGTTATTTATCCATATGAAATTCATTCTCATTTGTCTGTCCTCTACACGCCGTAAACCTTAAAAAAGGCAAAACAGTATTTTACAGATAAAACAATACCATATCTCTGGTTTAAAGCCAATGCTTTTAAAAAGTTCATCGAAAGGTTATTGTGAATAGACATCAAAAGCAAACACCATGTTGATTCATAGCCCTTGAATTCGAGTATGCATTTTCATGCTTTGCTTAATATGATATAAAATTTGACCGCGAACCAAGGTTATAAAGTAAGATGGGACGCTTAAGTAGAGGGTAAGATTGTATTGATATTCGAGTCTAGGAGCATGCGTGATGTATTATTTCTTCGGTCGCTAATTAGAAGTCATTATTGGAATGCCTAGATATTTTCCAACCATTTTCATATTTTATGAATGAAATCGATATTTTATCATTTTCGTTTTCATAACACCATTGGCTACCATTTTCATACTTTTAGTAATTCACCTAGTACAATAAAAACGTGTAGAGGCTTTAAATATTTTAATATATCTATCATTTACTTAAATTTTTTTTGGCACATGTAATCATATACATAAGGTTAAAGTTAGGACAGTGAGGATAAACGAAAGCTGCAAATTATATTCGATATAGGACATCTATCTATGCTGCTTTAAATTAAGAAATGCATATACTTTTACGTTCAACGTTCAACCAATATATTTTTAGTTTTCACTTCAACAATAGTAAATGTGTTATGAAACTAACACAGGAATTTTAAAAATTTACGTCACAGTCCACCGGTGCTGTCATAATGCTTTTGAAAACAATACACCAGAACATTGCAAAATTTGTAAATAAAATACAAGATATTTAAAAGATATTTAAATATAATATAACTCACGCGCACGCGCACACATACACTCGCGCGCATACACACAATCGCATCCGCACACATACATAGAGTTAAAAAGGAAAACAAATAGATAAAAACATGATAAAAGCACGTTTTAAGTGAAAAAGTTACCAATATGTGCTCTATTCCAATGTGGATCACGAGCGTCACTTTTTTTAAAATAGCTTCTCCGATAGACTAAACTTCGAAGTAAGTATTGGACATAATTCATTTCTTTTCTTGATGCAATGGTCACAAGATGTTCATTGCCATTATGGCAATGAGAGTTTGCACCATCCCAAGTTTCCCTTTTATCGAATACCGTGTAGCATTTTCGGAAAACCATTGAACAAGCTTAAATTGAAGAAAAAAATCATGTTCAATTAAACAATAATCTAATTGAACTTTTATGCAATGTTTAATAGCAGTTTTTTCTCTTCATTGTTATACGAATGACACTGTTTTGTAAAGAATTGTGAAAAACGTGTACTATTAGAACTACATGTGGGGTAGAATTGTTTTTAGATAAATGTTTTAATCATTTTGATCAATTTTAAATTTTTACTATTCTTTCAACAGCGAAAAAAATGAAATTCTTTCACATCAGATATTGGCCATGTATATATATACCTGTCGTCAAGAAAGTAAGAAGATTTCGGTTAAAAAACGATAAATAAGTTTGTTTTGTATAGATAAAACAAACGTTCTATAGGCAAGTATATTTAATTTATCTTACATACCTGATATTCTATTGGGATGATTATTATCCTCACCGCCAAAAGTAGACGAGTATGTAGAATATCTTTGAAGAGAATGGTTTGACATTTTATAATGTATCTTAAATCCTAAATGAAGCCTGTTATTTTGTATTTGAATATCAATCTTAGTCCATTTTGATTTGTATTTCTTGTAATACGCTACGTTACCACAATTTATTTTCATCTCACTATGAACATCCCTGATGATGAGTACTAATGAATAAAATGCAAAAATGTATTATCAGATGCTTTGTTACACAGGACAGATTACTCAGAAATTTTCACAAAAATTGTGAATAATGACTAGTGCTGCAAAGGGCAAAAATATTTTGCAAGTATGCTAATGAAAAAAAAACGACGTGTGTTGGCTTGAATGGAAAACAATGTAAAGGTTCTTAGCTTGCAGTTTATTGTGTTACCTTAACAACTATGACAGCATTTCGTTAAACTGCGATGGACGAAACAACATCAAATAAATATTGTATTCGAAATCTCGGTGGGGTTATATCAACCTCACGAGTTCCCGATTTGATCATCGTGATTTCACAATTCTAACTTATACGATTTCACTATTTCAACTTCACTGATTCACGATTTTATTAATTCATATTGAGACTTTACGATTTCAACTTTATTAATTTCTCTTATTTGATTTATCATTTTAAAATATTTTAAAGATACAAAATACAAAATAACATTATTCACCGTAAACGCAAAATAGAAGATAGTACATGTCATATCTAATCGTCAACCGCAAATGTTAATTTATCGCTGTATACCCAAATTTATGGTACAATTTACTTTGAACAGTATAGTACTAAAATATGACAAACAAGATCAACAAGGAAAGGCAGTGTTCAATGAACGCAACTTAAGACATGATAAATGATGAAATTGTAATTGTAAATACACGAATGTAAAACAGATCGAATATGTGCTAAAAATGCAAACCGAGCGGTATTGAGCTAGAATACTGTTGCATTGTATACAAAAATATATTTCAATATACATTTTCGGATTTTGTCTACATGCTACTGACTAGTTGGATATATGGATATTTTACATGCTTTGTTCACTGACCATCAATTTGCAATTGACGTGTTAATACATCCATGAAATATTACATTGAGTTAAAGCTTTCCTTTCTTATGTCATTTTGCCAAATGTCTGAATTATGTTAAATTAGATTATTTCTTTCTTTTTATAGGAAAAAGGCCATTCAGAAGTAAATCTTCATTTGTTAATTATATAAACAGACCTGTATTTGAAAGAATATTGAATTTCGAATTTTAGTTATATACGGACTTGCTATACAAATTCCGTATAAAGTAAAATACGGACTTCGTAAATCAAAGTTCCCGTATATTACGAGTGAACGGATCACCGCATTCGGAATTTTGTACACTTCCGTATATCCATATATTTTTCGCAGTGTATATCGCCTTGAAAATACCAAAATCCACCTAGCCTATAGTTAAAAAAAAATGCCTCCGACTGACGCATAATTAGACGTTTGTACACTGAGATTAAAATCTTCAAACCAATCCCTCTTTACTTGTAAAATTTAAGTTGATATTTATTTTTTATGCATTGCATATGTTCCATCTACAGTGACTCTTAAATATGAGTGGGCAACAGTCGATTGAAAAATGCATTACGATAACTTAAGAAATTGCAATCAATTATACCCTTAGATTTGGTTCCCTGTCCAAATTTGGCTCCGTCATTAGAATATAGACTTGCTCATTGACATGTAATTTATCAGGTTAATAAAAACGATAAAATAAACGAATATAGTATTCAAATATGGCACTATCACTTAAGTTAAACGTTTATTTCAATTCTTTAAAGCTTGATGACATATTAAACATCAGAAAAGCTATTTTTATAAGAGAATTGGAAAAAAATGTAAATTTGTTACAAAAGAAATAACGAAAGCAAGAATAAAATTTATCCACTGCTGAAACGGCGAAATCATATCTACGTGCACGTGGCGGATAATGAAAGCGCCCAGTCAAATAAATGTCCAAGACGTATGATTGTTAGTTGGTTAGGATTTAAGTAAACAGTATAATTACATTACACTACATACCACAAGGAATCCGTCAAATAACATTATAGAAGCTCAAGTTTATTATTTCTAGAATAAAAATTTATCTGAAGTTGTGGAAGTTTTGAATATTCTTACCTTTATCATCTGAACAAACTGGTTCAATGTATATGAAGGTTAAATCAATGCTTTGATGTTTCCCGGCTTGAATTGTGAACACTTCTTTACAATGCTGACAAAGATTCAAAGCCGAAAGAGATGTAAGGATCATGGTTGGCTCAGTGCAAATTTCCGTTCGTCTTTTAGTTCTTCTTGATTGGCTTAGTGAATCGATTGAAAGACAGGCTGGGGTTTCTTGAAGGAAATATTTATGCTATGTAGTATTAATGACTATATTAATTATTAAACAATTTTATACTATGACATTGACATGGTAATCTTTGTATAATTAAATGTATACTAGTAATAATAGAACAGAACACGAATTAGTCAGAATTGTTGTAAGAAACGATATCGTTCTTTATATATTAAACACAAGAAAAATGGTAAATATGTAACATTTGTAAGGTTTACTATTTCGTACTTTATGTAAAATATTTGATTATTTACAATTTTCATCAGATCTAAGATAAGCATTCTATGATTTAATGACTTGAAAACGGGCAAGCCCGCCATTTTTCATTTGGTAGATACACGAATAGGAAAGACGTATAAAACATCAATAGTTTATGGAACATCTTTTATCTATAGAAGCATACGTATGATGTTCAACTGTGTTCATAACGGTCATGCTTTGACAGAAACGCCTTCAATAAGATGTAGCAAATCTAAAAAACGCAATTTGCAAAAGGTGCAGAAATGACGTTTTTTAAGCATCTTGCTAACTCTAGAAATGCAAGATGGAACTTGAAAAGGCCAAATCGGTAGCATGCCTAACATTTTACACATTATTTCAAGATTTGAAAATATGCCATAACACTTGGTGTACTATATACTCTATAAACGAAATAACAAAATTAAATTATAAAGATTTGAAAAATAAACCTTGCAAAAAGTGTTATAAGATTACAAATATGCAAGGTTGTCCTGTTTTATTTCAATCAAAATAAATTAAAATATTTAATGTTATATACAATGATATTAAATGTATACCTTCAGCAGTAATGATTGCTCGGAATTTTATTACTGGCGGCCATACTGTTTTCAGAATGGTTGTTAAAAACAGCAAGCTTGTGTTTGTTTCTATAACGAATATTTCGTCGTTGAAATCGTCATCAATGATAAATTCTTTGTTGTCTACGAGCGATGTTGTAACAACGAGTGCACACTGCAAGAATATACAATGTCATATAAAAATAAAAATTCTGAAACAAAGTGAGCTATCAACTATCTGTTGGAACTTCAGAAAATATGCAGATATGGCAAACAATTTTGACGAAAGTGAAGATGAGAAAAACGTGTCAATGTTTTAAATTTCAAATGTAATCATGGTATGGTATGGTAATTGATAAAAGTTTAATCTTAAGAAGGCCAAAAATAAAATCATAGAATATCATTTGAAAAAAAAGAAGTGAAATTTTATTTATAAATTATAAGAATTTAGTTATATTATATTTCACATGTATCACATATAAACACATGCTCTTCCGTCCGTATAGATTCGTGCTCTTCATCTCCGAATTCGTCAATCAACAGTTAATAATTGAAGCTCTTCACTATTTGAGGCATTTTTTCCTTCTCCTTTGAACAAAGAAACTCGCAGGATATTATAGACTTGGAATATTTTCGTATGCAACGAAAAAACACACAAAAAAACCCCGATAATTAAATTTAGAAAGCTCCTCTAGGTTTGTGTAGTTAGACTACTGATGAATACACCAGTCCGTAAAATAAAATATTCTCAGCAAATGTTGAACAATTCAGTGAAGTAAAATGTCTATAAATAAGAAGTATGATCTATGTGTCAACCTAATACGGAATGGACTTAAAAGTTAGTGGAGGAAAAAACTAAAATCCCAGCAGACATACCTATATCGGGCCGATATCGGCCAAATGTCCGAATATCGAAGTCGGCTTTCCGCCGTCGAACCGATATGTATCCGATATAGACAAACTTGTTAAAGACAGGATGATATCGGTCAGATATAGGTCCAATATACTATATTAGTATATTATTTCCTGTTATTTAATTAAATGAGTTTTTTAAGTATATTCTTCTCAAATTCATTTCAGCAAGAAATCGATGCTTTTGTAAAGAGTAATTAAGTCGTTTTCATAAAATACTTCGGTGCTATATCGGCTCCATGTCTGTTGCCAATTTAGTGTATAAGTGATTTGTACAACGTGGTATTTTTCTAGCCCACCTGCCATCTGAAGAAGTTTGCGCCAAAACTATAAAATGTGGATTTTTTCTCAAATATTACTGGTAAATTTATAAATTACTTATGCTAATGAATAAATTCATTGTTGAAGTATTCGATGTAATTGATAATTTGAACGTAGGTTTGGGAATTCAATAATCATCTCGCCAAAATTTTTTGTAATACATTTTCGCGACTGTTTTTAAATTGTTGCTTAAAATTTAGAGAGAATAAACATCAAATTATAATTTTCTTTTTACTTTTATTGAAAGTTATAATTATGATAGAGATGTCAAATGAAAGTTTTAATCAGAAATTATGAAATGTTGATTACTTAACAAGAAATGGATAGTGCCTGATTGCCTTTTGAAAGGGTACTGTTCTGAAAGGAACTCCACTGAGGTTTATACGCCTAAAATCATAGAATCTTAATTCTTCTTGTAGATAAACATGAGCACTTAAAACAGAAACATAAATAAGATATAATTAAAAAATATATAAGAAATATATTAAAACTCGTATGTCTGTGCTATTTTCAGTCCGATTTGAGTGAAAAGCGTTTAAACGCTTTTCAGTTTGGGTCTTTTTTCACTATTATAATAATTATTCTGGAAAAAGAGCGAGCCTAATGCTTTGAAATTCTGCACATAAG